GATGGTGTGTTGATATAAAAACGTCAGGAATTTTTAATCCATCATTAAGTAATATTAAAATATATTATAATAAAAATTATATAAATATAATATAAGTGTGTGAATAATGTTAAATTCACACTGATACGTTTTAAAGTCTATTATAATTATTATATTTTCTACTGCCGTCCTTTAAATGATCTGTTATTCTCAGACTTATTTTTTCAGAGAAAATTCATTTCTACTTTTAAATATTTATGACTAGAGAAATCTTTCGTGCATTGTATAAATACTTACATGTTATTTTATTCTGCGAGAAATACAAAGTTGTCCTGCAATTTGTACATCACGATACATGCAACTCGAGTTTCTATCCCGTTGAGGTTTCGGTCTCGCGGTTGCATTTACCATCAGTTTTATGCGAGATTCGATCGTGTAGGCAGTAGTTAGGGTAAAGGGGGGAAGGTGGCATGCTGGCCCGTGGACCAAGGTGATCCAGTGCGAAAGCGAGAGGCACACGCACCGAGCGAGGAAAGATTGACAGGAAAAAGAGAGAAAGAGAGACGTTGGTGCAAAGAACCGGGGGATCACGGACGGATGATTGGGCCTCCTCGTCACGAACGAAGTGGATCGTCTATCGGCGTACAAATGTCACGGCGATCGGTCGGTCGAGGGTAGACCACGTGGGACGGGGAGGAATACCTGGCCAATGAATAGCGATAATTAATGGTAATTAGTGACGAGTAAAATTCGCGATGAGACTCGACGCGAGAAGCATGCTGCTTGGAATTTATAATGAGAAAAATAAAACGGAAAAAAAATGATGAAATAACTAACGAACTATTATTATTAGTTTAAATAAACATTCGTTTTAGTTTATGTTGAATGTCATTCAATTTTGTGAGTTGTTTTTATTTATGGATATTTATTACATAAATTCGTTTTTTTTTTTTAAATCAATCTTTCCTTAGTCTTGAAAAAGAGTGGTTCAATTTTTAATCTTTGAAAGTGAGATTTCTTCAGAGTGACAATTCACTTTGAAAGTTTTAAAGAGTAAGATGCTTTTTTCACCGACTGTTATTTTCTCGAAAAGTTTGGTCGAAAAGTCGGGTGCGAATCCGTGACGAGCAGTCGGTCATCGAAATGGGTGTGCATATACCTGTGGGAATGTATTCACGGATTCTCTCTTTGGTTGTTCAACCAGTGGAACTGGGAGAAACTACCGGACACGTCGCGCATCTTGGATAACCCGGCGTCATGTCGTAATACTCGCACCGCCGTTCGAGTGCAGTCGAATGTGTACAGTTGTATCGGGAACGATATATCTAGCATTAAGCTCTCTCGTTCTTAATGAGTTCAGTGTAAACGTGTTAAACAGGCTGACGACGGAAGAACGACTCGCGATCGCGCTTGAAACATAAACGGGCTATATGAAAAATCGTACGAACCGCTGTTTTTAAAAACATTTTATTAAGGGCGTGTCTCATCTAAAAACAATATCAAAAATACTAAAATTTCTATTTCAAATAATTTGAATATATCTTATGTATATAAAATTTCAGTACAATTTCCTTATTGATTTAAAAGTTATATATATATTTTTTGTCTATTCTTATGTGAAATCGTGTTTTATAATATTTATTTGCAAATTTAACGAGGAAGTATAATAACATTAAAAATTAAATCAAATTTTATACAGATACTGATCAAATAATAATAAATATTCGCGCAAAAGTTTATTTGGTTTCATTAGCTTATACTTGTTTAGAAATTATTGATCTAAAATTGCAAAATACTGAAAAATACATATGGCCATTTTGCTGCACAAAGCATTTTAAGTTAAATTATTTGTTATTTTGTTTTTTGCAGTTTGATTTCAGAATGTATTCACGGACTAATATCATTAAAATTTTATTAATGTGTAATTTTCTATTTAAAATTAGATCGAGATATTACTTGAATGAATAAATTATATAGTTTACGTCTTAGGAGGAAAAGTATTACAATTTAAAAGAATTTGAAAAAATAGTTACGTCAGAAATAAAAATTATAAAATTTTATTCAATTTTTTTGTTTCAAATCAACGTTCACTATACGTAGAATAAGCAAATAAATACATATACACGTGACTGTTATTTTAAAATGCTATTATAATTCGCATAAATTCATCAATTTTCTACGCGGATATAATAAATCTCTGACAAAGATGGTATAAAAAAAGTTAATAACAGCATAATATGACGATAAATTATTACAATAAAAAAGTATCGTTAATTATGAAAATATGTTACTTACTATATCTTGCTTTTTCTAGAAAATAATTCTAGCAAAGATTCATGTAAACCCCTATACAAACTGTTCGCGATTTTGCTGTTCTGTAACTCGAAAAGTTTAAGGAAAATAACTCTCGGTCGTGTCCCAGCGCAGCGTTTATTGCAATAACAGTAAACCAATGGATAGAATCGGTTACTATCCCCCCCCCCCCCGAGTACCGACACCGATGTGCTTTTAATGATTTCGTGATGCCGGCGCGTTTACAAATTTTATAGCTGCTGTATCTCGCAGCGCAACCCGTTATAAGACCTGGGCACAGAGAAGTGCGCCGGACGATAAAGTTATGAAATTTTATTCGTACAACCGGATTGCGATTATCTACGTTATTATCTTTTGATTGTGTTACGCAACCCGCGCCGCGCTAGCAGACGCATTATGTGCAATTATTCCGCTGAGATTACATTAAATGTGTATTGATGTAGGTACTTGAGGTATTTGAATCGAGCAGAAAGAAAAAGTTCGAGGTCGCGAAAGAATCAATTTCCGCACATGTTATTTTCATCGTAGAAGGCTGAATGAAAGAAAAGATGGAGAAGTAAAAGGGATTATGAATTATAATTATCTGCATAATATCTAAAACATTTTTTTCTATTTTCTCAAGAAGCACGATAAAGATAGAAAAAAATGTTTGTAGAAAAAAATGTAATGTAGATTAACTTAATCTTGGTTTAATTTATTATACTTTTTGTTTTATCCTTTTCTCGTTCTAAAGATTAAAAGGCATGAAAAGTAAATTATAAACCGAGATGAAATATACCTTTTTATTTAAATACTTTTCCCGTTTTTGGCATAAAATCGACCGATTTTGGACCACATTATTGTTGTGGATTTTTAAATTTATAGAGGCAATTAGAAAAATACTTATTTAAAAAATAATTGATAAAACAAACGACTTGAGGATCTCCCTAACTCGCTTGCATCCGAGATAAAAGCTCGTGTTCTCGCAGCATCCGACACGTGCGTACTCATGTCGACAGTCGACGGTTCGACTTTGTATAGCTTTGCCGCTGTCGTCGGGATGCTCCTACAGCGTGCAAGATGACACGGGGACAGGCCAACGGGAATCTCGGCGCGAGCAAGGACCGACCGACCGACCGCCCGCTCGCTGTTTGCGCGCCGCAGGTTGCATAACGGTCCGCGCAGCATCCAGTATGCAGTATCCAACGCCGGGAGAAAAAGGGACGCACGGAACCGACACGCGTATACAGGGTGTCCTGCTTCCTTCCGCCGAATCATTAATCGCTGATACACGGAATCGTCGAATTCACAGTCGCAGTTCTACGTAATAAGAACATCGAGGATTTTACTACTTGACATATTCTTTCGTTTAGAAGTGCTTTTGAGAATCAAGATTAAATTGGAATCCTGTTTAAGCAAAATTTATTCGAAATAGCAAACAGTGAAAGTTTGTTTATTTGTTTAGAAGCATTTCTATAAGCTTTTACTTAATTTTTCTTTTGATGCTTTTTGTGACTCGAAAGCTGCTTGGGCAACTCGATATTATACTGCAGAAATGTAGTAACTTTTAATAAATCATTTGTTTTTAAATAGTATTAACTAAATATTTACTAAATATAAAAATATATTTGTTTGATACAGAGACTATTAATTTAATTTAACTATCACTTTTTTATCGAGTAAATATTTATTTACTATAAGTAAAAATGTTTAATTGATACCACTCAAATGTTTATTGAAATTTAGTACAGTTTTCTCAACGTAGGATTTTTATTTTAAACATTTTTTTATCATGTTAAAGAATCTGTTATGATGTTAACAGAACACCCTGTATATGTATCGTCCAATTCTTGTCTCATCGATCATGTCAGAATCTACCGCCCCGTGATTTCGAGCCCTGTGTTTTACGCAAATATTTTATGGAAATAAACTTTTTGGAATTATCTTTTTTTTATACAAGAGATTAGAGAGGAGTGATTAATCATAAACCATAAAATTGATCTTCAACATCTATATATATATATATATATATATATTTCATGTAATGGGGAAAGTTCGCGTGGGATGACCTAATAGAAAATGTGTCTATACGTTATTAATACTCGATTTGACCTAATAATCGCGTAATGAATATAGTCGCGTGTACGCTCATGTATAATACTCGTTACATGTTGTCTTATGCGATAACTAACCAGTTACCATATACTTCGTTTTGTAGTTTTTGCACATGTTGTCAGGCCACGCGTAAAATTACAGAACCATACGCTGTAAACGGTCATCGCGAACTTGCTTACCTTGATGAGCTCAAAATTGTACTCGCGCGCACATTAATTCAGCTAAGATCACGATGACAGGGCACTATTACTTACGAATTGTAAGAACGGGTTATTTATTAATTGACACACACACACACACACACACAAACTCACATTGCGGTTGAGTTAATTATTAGTTAATATAATTACAACATTAAGAAGCAAGTGTTATTATTATTATTATCTAAAATGAATACACTAATATAAATAATATTGGTGTGGATTTAATACAAAATTTAAGAAATTTATGTTATATTATATAACTTAAAAAAGAGATGTGAGGAATCATCTATAATTTAGAAGTATATATACGGTTTGTATTTGCTTAAGTAATTCGTATATAATGTTATAGAATTTTTTAAATTGTCGGACGATCGCGTTGTACTCTCTAATGTGTCGTTTGCTTAAATCAAGGTGAAATTGCACACTACGAGTGTAGCTCGATAGATTCATTATAATTCACCGGCCCAGCCGACCAGAACTTCGCGACAGTTCGTTAACATGGGAAACGGTAGCTTGTGACATGGCGGAAAGCAAATTCACCGAAGACACCTGTCCTTTTCAAACGAAGAAGATAGTCTATAAAATGATGAGTTTTGCGTTTAGCAAATTCTACAGTTTTGACGCTTTTGTAATATACTCGAGACAGTTCTCTAATTGTTTCTGCATGAATCGATAGATTAAAATTAATTAAAACGTCTGAAAATCGTAATTTTGAATCCGTATTTTTTCTCACAAAATACAGCGAGCGTATTTTTACGAAGTTGAGACTTCACAGATGATCGAAGTTACACATTTAAAAAAAAATATCGCATTTGATATTTTTTTTTTTAAATATCAAATCCACGCTGTGTCTGTCTAATTTTCAACCGCGTTGATGTTAATACTCGGTTAATTTTAATATTAATTTAGTCGGTGTGGATTTAAAGCCCCTGGTATTTATATCAACACTTTCACGATATGGAGTTAAACCTTATGGTGTTAAATCCACATCACACATGTCGGTGTTAATATTATCGACACAGAGAATTATAGACACCACATGGTGTTAAAACCACACCAATATTTTTTAGAGTTGTATAGAATATAAGAGGTTGATGATCGTTAAGACGAATTCCATGAAGTGATAGCTGGTTAGCTCGTGGTCGGTGGACGATGGTCTCGAACGGTACCACGTAGAGACGCACGACGACTCATATCTCTCTCTTTTTCTCTTTCTCTCTTTTTCTCTGTCTCTTCTCTTCTTCCGTCCTTCTCGTCGATCTTCCTCTTGGCGTTGCATGTTACACTCTTTGAGTCTCTTTAAAGCCTCGTCTGCTGCTCCCTAAGGTGAGTTCTCTCCAAGGTCCGATTCCTCCGGCCACAAACGACTTCCTTCACGAAAGTAAGCGTCAACTGTTGTTTCCACAGCTTTCCTCGGAACAATATCGTTGCGAAGCGGCCGAGACGTTTGTTTCTACTTTCAATTAATCTCGCCTCGGGTACGTTGAACTACCGCGAGGATGTCTCCACTTGGTCGCCATGCGCGTTGCGGCTAATATTCGACGAGATTAACGATACCTCTGTGAAGTGGAAGTCGTTTTATGCACGATTTATTATGTCGTTACAGCTCCGTTAAAATCGAATATCTTGTTATTTTCTCGGTATTTAGTATTAGCATAAATTATTAGTGATTATTTTTCTAATTTACTCATCTTACATATCTTGATTATACTTTTCTTATAGAAATAGAATAGCTTGTTTTATTATTGCTCATACTTAAACTGAACGAATGAATCAAATATTTTTGTATACACCGTAAAAAATAAAATGTTAATTTTAAGTTATAGATGCGTGTATAGTGGACTTTCTAAAACATGCAACAATGTTAAAATTAACATTTTCGTTCACGTAATAGGATTGACTTCAGACTTTTATAAACGTTAGCTCCTATTATTGTCCGAACTAATAAATACAGCAGAGAGTTAATGAACTTCTGTTATCCGTACAATTTAGTTATTAGAACTGTTTTGTCTCTTGATAAATTTAAATAAAAGGAGTTCTACTGTATTTCGTTTATCGAAGACAGATGTTTAGATTTCAAATTTATTTTATGGCTTTTAATTATAAGCGGAACAATAAAACTACATATCTAGTCAAGAGCACGTACCTCACATAAATTGCATGCTTTTCCTTCAGTGCCATCACGGACGAATCCCAAGCTCGTTAAGCATGGAGAAACGTACGATAGGAATTTCCGACAGTATTAAATTTTCATTAGACGCAATTAAATTCGTATCACCCTGGTGACGAAGAGCTTGCGAAGGAGACAAGAGAAAGGACACGAATAAGGTCATCGTATAGGACTATTATTAAAAGTTATACGCGTCTCGTTGTTACTCAGCCACGTATATAACAAAAACGTCTGCGGATTGTAATAAAATTTATAAAAGCGTCCGAATTCGCCGATTCGCATAATAGCGATCATGGTTGCTGACTGGCATAAAGATATTCGCGAAATGCAGATGTTACTCGAAGCAGAACTTCCTCGACGAGGAAGAGCGTAGAACTTTTTATTGATTCGCGCGTGAAATGTCGGTATTAGCTTCCTACATCCTTTTGAAGAGAATCAAATGCATTTCCACTGAAATATGTGAAATGCAGTTATGTTCTTGTAGTTTTATGAGTAGCAGAAGAACATATGAATTTTGAAAGCAGAAGAAATTGTAATAGGGATAAGAAAATTGCGCATTTACTGATGTTTATTTTTTTATATTAGTATAACTTTTTCTTTATGTTATAAATTTATATTATTATTAGTTATTTATTTTGTTATATTCATTTATTCTTATTACATTAATCTTTGTTGAGAGAGTGAAATAATGTTATTTGAATTTCTTCTTTTACAAACTTTTCTTTACGAAATTAATTAGAAAGGGCACTGGAAAATGTTTAAAAAAAATTACATTTAATTAAAAATATACAACCTAGCTTAGCCAAAAATACTAAACACTTATATTTCTTTATTTATCTAAAATTTGTTATATCTATTATTAATTACTGGTATTATTCATAACTTTAAAGAGTTTTTGAAACAAAGAATAATTTACTATAGCTTTAATTATAGCAAATGCTATAAATCGATTTTTAAGCTAAAACTTTAAATAATAGTTAATAAGATTCCTAATATATTTGGTGTGTATATATACTTTAACTTAATACTCGTACTTTCAAAGACGCTCGCTTTCTGGAGATCTACAAAATTCTGACTTTCCAAATTCATTTATGTGCAACTAATAATTCAATTCAATTAGTTTAAAAAAGAATTAAAAGATCTCGTCTTGGTTATATAAAAGGAAAAAGGATGTAGCGAATCAAAGATTGAACGGGATGACTCGTGACCTCGATGATAGTCGTCCTCGACAACTTTATCCTTGGATCGAAGTTAATAATCTAACGAGTCAAGTACCGCGCAATTCACGAAATCTTAATTCACATGATGCCACGTGCGATCACCGGATTATGGAACTACTAAGTCACGTTCTTTCAACACTTTTAATTAGAAAGGACGAAACAGACTCACAAAAGTCGGCCTGAGGACTGCTGAGAAATTATAATGAGAATTTATGACCGAAATAACACAAAGGATGTGTAATATAGTCACAAAATGAAGTTTCTCAAATATCGTATCTTCTGGCATCAAACATTTTAATATCTAGCTCATGCATATATATATGTATATAGTATATACTAGAAATTATACACACGTTAGTATGCATATTAATAATAAAATTTATATATTAATAATAAAATAATAATAAAATTTTCTATTATTATGTAAATACATTAATTTTGCTTTTACTTAAAATTTTTTAAGCCGTATTTCGAAAATTAATTGTAATGAATATTATTATTTTGCAAAAAGCTCACAAATTTCTCGATGTCGATTCCGTGCGGTCACTAAACGAACGCACTTTCAGTTTCACTTTTTCCAAAAATTGACACGCTCTGATAATGAAGATCGATATGTAACTTTGAACGATGTACGAAACATTTATCAGAGTACCGGTGAGCATTACTTATTTTCTAAAATATTATCTATTTTCTAAAATAATATCTATTCTGCGGGACGGAAGATAATTTATTATGACACGTTCACGCCGATATTCTTACCGGAAGCCCGCAGCTGAATTAATACGTGGCGGAGAAATGGCGGACGAGCGCACTTAGAGAAACGTCATTTGTCATCTAGTTTATCGCGAAGGTTTTCCCGCGGGGGGGAAATTATAAATGCATTTTCATTACGCTTCGTACCATTGTTGTACCATAAATCGAGGTCGTATGGAGGCCTATTAAATCGCGAGGATTCAGAAAAGAAAGGATGGAAAGTTGTTGTAGTAGAAGGATCGCGTTCTTGGAGATTGCAGCAGGTCTTTCGCTTGTCTCGCGGGCGCAATCGTCACGCAATTCGAGAAAAGGATTACACATTGGATAAAAAGGTGTAGCGAAAACATCTGCGAGGCCAAGTTTACACCTGCGAATATGACAGACATAAAGATTAAATGAACAGAAAAAATGGACGTGAAATAATGTTGAAAAATTTACATACAATTATATATTTTACATATTATATATATATACATATGATTATAATACAGAAAACCACTTATACATGGGTCATATTCAAGTCACAAAGGAAACCATTTGTTTATGTAATTAATGAGGGAGTCTTTATTAATAAAATTGTAAGTACTAATATTTTTATTAAAACATTTATTGTGTAAAAAAATTATCAAAATCAGTTTTAGTGACGTTTCTGCCATTTAATCGATTTTTACCTTTTTCGTTATTACGCTGTTAATTCGACCAAGTTTGATTTGAGAAAGCTATTAAACACGTGGTCTAGATCTTAGAGGATCATAAAAACGTAAATAAATTAGAAAATCATGCTTAATTACAAACGATAGGATCTGTTACCATTCACAGCGGTTGCAATTGATTGATAAGCGCGAAATCTGATGAACGTCAAGCCAGGTTACGCAAAATGTATCACGGAAACGTCCCGAGAAACGATAACGACAAAAAGTAATTTTAGTTGTTTTATTGCTTACATTTTCGTTTGTTATTAGCTTTTTTACAATATTATGATAAATCACGATGCATTCGAGCGCATATTGGGTGCTTTCCATTTAATGACACAAGTCAACACAAATGTCGTTCTATCTTTGTCAATCTCTAAACGTCAAGAAAGATAGAACGATACTTGTGTCGACTTGTGTCATCAAATGGAAAGGATCCATTGTCGCTAATATTTTTTTTTAATTGTGAAAAAGAATCACGAATATTGACTCTTATGAGAGGGAAATGCGAGGATTGAATCCGCACGGGTGAGAGCGATCGCCTCCGCACATCTCTTCCTTTTGTTTTGTCGAGTATACAGAATGGTCTCATTATATTGCGGTCTCGTGAGGTTACCGAATAAACTGAAT